AAAAAAAGGATCCACACACATACATACATCTGGGCGACCTGGACGAACATGGCCGAAGTGGTGGTGTGTACAGGCTGGCCTTGTTACAACACCTTCAACATCGAGAAGGCCGACCAGAGCAAGATTCCTAAGGGTAGCTTATGAGGAATGGAAGCTGGCAGCAACGCTGACTGGTCAAGTCGCATTTCCCCTTATGGACGAGGGGACTCGGATCCAATGGCCAATGATGGTAGATGGCGGGGATGAAACAAAACCAGAAACCAATGCCCGCTGGTTCGCAATGACTTTCGTGACGGACCAGGTCCCTTGGGGCTGGTCTGCAAATGTGCAGGTGCGAAGACGGGCATGACGCTGACGGGAATCAGGACACCGAGCAGCGCTCACAGAGTTATCCTGAACACGGAATGGGGTGGGATCAAGATGATGGGACCGGGACGAGAGGCCAATAGTCAGTACGACAAGGATGACATGATGAGTAGCTCAACAAGGGGGACTTAGCAGCAGTTTGGAAACGGAGAAGATAATTCCGTTGTGGTACGCTCTGATGAAGCTAAATCTCGAGGCGGTGAAATAGGACCTGATCTACATGGACCATCCCACCAACCAGGCATTGAAGAAGGGGAAGTTTGCGTGGTTGGTGGATTCACTAAGGACGAATGCGGTGGCGCAGGAGGCAGGGTGAGTGTGCCCGGGGGTGGCACCGATTGACAGCACGCGGTGGGGATGAGGAGTGCGTGTTATTGTGAAGGTGCTTGCAACCGACACCCTGCGAACCCTGACGGTGGGCAGTATAACGGCGGCGATAATGACAGGATCGGACTTCCTCACAGGGACTTGTCTGTTTCGAGGTAGTTACGAGGCTTCTTACAACGGGGTGGTTAGGCACTTCGCAGGAGCAGCCCGCGGTTTGAACCCGAATGTGTTGGCTGCGTCGGGAAAAGAAAGAGGTGGTCTCGCAGCACCCGCGGAGGACCACTTAAAGAAGATGACAGTGCTGCAGGGGCAGATAGAGTCACTGTGGATGGCTGTGGCGGCGGATCGGAATGCACACGATCCGAAGGGGCGACCACTGGCTGCGAACGCTGTCGCGGGTGGAGGGACACACTCGGCTGTAACGAACGAGGGGATACAGACAACAGCTGGAAACGCTGGTCCAATATCAAGGAAGATAGGGATGCATGTTCCGGCCACGCTCGCGGAACAGCAGGGTGGAGAAAAGATCCGAAAAGTGGGCGCATTGAAGCTTCCACAATAGACAATGCTGAGTGGGGTAAGTTAGCAGATAATTACCCGGAGAACATTTGGACACCTAAACTACTGAATGATCGAATGACAACGGCTGAGGCCGAGTTGATGGATGAGGTTGGACCTGGAGTAAACTGTGGATGTAGGACGAATGGATGGAACATGGCTATGCCAAAATTCTGTGAGAAATTGCTTAAGTACAGGTTAGTATCACACAAGCCTTGCCACGGTTGAGTATTAGGGAAAGGGGTGCTAGAGGTTTATGTGCACTGCGTGATAAGAATGTTAAGCGAACGCGCTGGAATAGAGATGGCGGAAGTATTCCTAGCCGCGGAGAAGCGCTGGCCAAAGGCATGCAGGCACGGGGTGAACAAATATTGGAAACGCCGAACGGGGCTCCTGAAAATAGGAGGAACCCGTGTCACTCCTTACTGGCGTGAGGAGTGTTACTGGGAGTTAGGCAAAGGGTACGTACCCTAGGAAGACATGGGCCCCGAAGCAATTCGGTGGTTATGTGAGGATACACTACTCGGAGGCCCCGTTGGCGAAGACAATTATCTTGACTGCTTCCATAGAAAGGTGGAGGATTTCATGGAGACAGAGTTCAAGATGCCCGAGCACCAGCCCACCATAGAGGGGTGGGTAGCAACAGAGAAGTGGATGGAAGGCAAGGCGGGCACCGGAGGGAAGGTGGGTGTCACAATAGACGGCAAAAGGAAGATGACCCGACGAACTAAGCCCCTAGCAGGCGTGATCATGTGGGATGCAGAGGGCTTGAGTTGATGGCGCCGTCGAAGGAGGTAATTCACATATTGCAGAAGAGTAAGGCGGGCAAAAAGCAGAGCGTCGTCAAGACAGGAGACAAGGTTAATAGGAAGATGAATTACTTGAGCGGCTATCTGGAGGATGGACTGCACGGAAGTCCACCGAGTACGCTATTCGCGCAGGAGGTCGGGAACGAGAGGAATGATTTCGATCTGATCGATGCCGTGAGAGACGATACCACTTGGAAGGTTTCATTAGATTCATTAGAGGCTTCGACGAGAAACAGAGCAAGATGTCCATCGCAGTTGCTATGCACGCGGTGGGTGTGGCCATGGAAGAACGGGATATGAATGATGATGGATGTATGGTGTGGGCGGCACTGTGGGACAGCCTGTTTGTAAAGAGTGCCTTGGTTGAGTGGGCGGACGAATCGAGGCCCTGGAAGAACGGATTGCCATCGGGGTGGCGCTGGACTGCAGTGTTAGATACCATTCTGAATGTGTGTAGTTTTAGGGTCATACGGAAGATATCAGAGGTACGGTTGGGGCGGGCGTTCTGGGTTGGTCACTTTTATGCTCAGGGGGAGGACGTCATCTTTGCTGCTAAGGATCTGGGTGGGATTCATCTCATCATAGATACATATGGCAAACTAGGCTACGAGGTACACCCTTACAAGACCTATATCTCGAGGGGAGGGGGGAGTTCCTGCGTAGGAGTTACGAAGCGATAGGCGTGACTGAGTACTTAGCAAGAACCATGCACGGCTTACGCTTCAAGAATCCTACAGGACGACCCCCTTTCCCTGACAGAAAGGATCTATAGCCATATGACGCAGTGGCATCTGGATATGCTAAGGGGAGGAAATCCTGAGGTCGTACTGCAAATGATCACGGTGCGCGGGAACGAGCTTAGAAATTGACAAAAATGACGACAAAATTTGATAGTGCCATCTTTTTTATCACTTAAAATTATGTAAGAAAATGTTTTTCCCAAAATCTAAATCGCAGAGTTTCGCGTTTTTTAAATCATTTTGTAAAAAAAATAACTTTTTAACACTAAATCTTTTTTAATGCTTTAAACTTTTTTATATATAGATGATTAAGATTAATTATTCTTATTTTAGCATAAATTATGAAATTGGTGATAAAATACAAAAGTTAAACTTTTTATAGATGACAAAAGAGATCATGAGCTACTGCTCAAATTTAAACACCGCGTGACATGGTAATTTACTAGTAGTCCAGTCAAGTTAGTCTAAAAACAAGGCATATCATGTTTTAACTCAGTACCTTAATTTTTTTCCCTTAAACCCTTCATTTTGGGGTAAAAATAAAGTACCTAAATTTGGTACTTCGAACTGCTACCAGAACCTAACATTTTTCTTATGAAATAGGTGCATAAATTCAGTTTTTCAAATTGCCGCCTTTCATGACATTTTAGCATAAAAATACTTAGTATAAAAAAGAAGATGTATCAAATTCTGAGTAATTAGATAAAAAATAAATCCTGTAGCTCAAAAATTGAGCGAGATATAGCTTCCGTAAAAAACACATTTTTTTCGAGATTTTAGCTAAAATGAGGTATTTATCAGTTTTTCCAATATAGCTTTAAAAGAAATAAGTTTTTGAAAAAATTGCCTAACGGGAAAGTTAAAGCTGACAAAATTCCTAACAATTTGCAAAAAAGAACAATGCAATAACTCTGATAGTTTCCGAGATACAGTCTCTCAAATATGACCCTTTTGAAATTTTACATAGAATCTCATTTTATTACCATTGTATGTAAAATCTCAAAAGGGTAAACTTTGAGAGACTGTATATCGGAAACTATCAGAGCTATTACATTGTACTTTTTTGTAAATTGTCAGAAATTTTGTCAGCTTTTATGATAAAATGTCATGAAAGGCGACAATTTGAAAAACTGAATTTTTGCACCTATTTGTCAAGAAAAATTTTAGGTTCCGGTAGCAGTTCGAAGTACCAAATTTAGGTACTTTATTTTTACCCCAAAATGAAGGGTTTAAGGGAAAAAAATTGAGGTCCTGAGCTAAAACATGATATGCCTTGTTTTTAGATTAACTTGACTGGACTAGTAGTAAATTACCATGTCACGCGGTGTTTAAATTTTAGCAGTAGCTCATGATCTCTTTTGTCATATATAAAAAGTTTAACCCTCCTTAGTACAACCTAAAAAAAATGACGCCGTAGCACAACCGTAGAGAGAATCCCCTCGGATGCAAAAAAAAATGCGACGCTGCCAAATGTTTGAAATAATCGACTAAATTGTGGGTTATGATGCGGCTTTACAAATATATTCGAAATTTTTTGAAATAAACATTTAAATTTCAGTTAAAAATTAAGAAGTTTTAATAAATTTTTTAAATCAATTGCAATAAATAAAATTACTTATAATAAATATTTTAATTTTCAAATTAATATATCGAATAATGTGTAGCTTTTCACATTTTTTATAATAATTTTATTAAATATTTTTATTTATTTTAACCAATAATTAGATTAAATAATATAATTTTAATTTGGAAAATAAATAAATTTATTTGGAATTTTCAGAAAATATATTCAATTTTTGTAGGAAAAACTTGCAAATAAACATTAAATCCAAACAATTAAGTTATAATTTTAAAAGCGATTTATTTTTTGCTTGAAATAACATAAAAACATTTGTAACAATTTTATTTTATATAAATAGTAATACTTTTTAGCTTCAGTCCCTTTTAATACTAGCACTTAAAAATATCCAGCAAACATAAATTTATATTTTTAGATTATTTTTAATACACAAACTTGGTTTGCACGTTATATAAATTTACTATGTAAAAGTTGCAAACCCTGTTTATCTTTATATTGTACAGTAACTTAGAAGTTTTCGTAAAATTTAATTTTAACTTATCTATGCACATTTTTCGGCTCTTATTTGATATTTCCCAATCAAATTTTTTTCGAAATAGAACCGTTTAATCTTAATAAACTCTACTCGATATTATGAATTTTTTCGAAACATTTATAACATACTTTAACAGTATGTTCTGTGCAAACTTTAAATGAGCATCGAATGCAATTAGTCTTCGAGTATCTATTTTTTCTCTTTGGACAGTAACCACATCTGAATGGATCATTGTTATTTACAGAACCTTGATCTAATCCAAAGTATCTTTGCATCTCCTTTCGCAGGTTGAATTGAAGTGATCGAATTGAAGATCTTTGTAAAAGTTGAGGTTTCGCCAATTCATGGGCCAAAGTCTTCAAGAATGTCCTTCTCTGAATTTCTTTCGCGGAATTTAGAGAATAGATGACGAAACTGTTGATGCCTGCAACGTTAAGAATTCCAAAGAATATTACAAGTGGCCATCTGTAAGTATCCCGAGCGACGTTGTATTTCGCTGAAAGTTTATCAACAACGTCAACGCCACCTTTTGTTGAATTGTAAAATGAAATTATTTCTGGTAACAATTTCTCGCCAGTTGAAGGATCGATTTCACCCGTGTTGTGCATAGTGGAAACAAGAACGACTGATTTGTTTTTTTTGGCACGTGGGAGAGAAGAACAGCATTTTGTTGATAACCAAAGAGAGTGGATTTAACAGCCCTGCTTTTAGTTTGCACGAAAATCGGTGGAAGCTCTCGTTTGTTTCGTCTCACAGTACCCAGTGCTGTCAAATTGTAATCATTAAGAAGTTCTTCGATCAGTGGAAATGAAGTGAACCAGTTGTCAAATGTTATATTTCTGTTCGAGTTCGCAATCGGGATCGCCAATCTTTTGACTACATTGCTCGGTTTGTTATCAACGTAGAATGGCCCATCAGGTTGTACTCCAAGGTATACTTCCATTTTGATGGTGTAGAATGTATGGGCATCGGCAAGACTAAAAATTTTTATACCATATTTTGCCGGCTTGCTGGGAATATACTGTTTAAACGGGCACCTTTCCCGAAAAGCCAGTAACATTTCATCGATGGTGCAGCATTCTCCTGGTACGTACAATTCAGGCAATCTTTTATTGAAATCATCGAATATTTTCCGGATAGGTGCAAGTTTATCAAGAGCACGTCTCTCTTCCCTCGTTTCAATATTATCAAAACGTAGAGTACTCAATAAAACCTTAAATCGATTCTGGCTCATTACTAGACGAAAAAATTGTGGCGCTGTAGTATCGCTATTACTCCAAAGCTCTTGTAAATTTGTACGAGACATTTGCAAGACACCGGCCATATACAATATTCCAAACAGAGCTCTGATTTTAGGTATAGTTGTGTCCTCATTATTTCCTTTCTCCGTTGCATTATTATTGTTTCGCTTATAGAGCAATCGAATGTTTGTACAAATTACAGTCTCCTTTAGCATTTCTTCTGTAAAAAATAAGTTCCAAATTTCAATTGGTGTTGTGCAGTTTCGAGCTTCACCTTTTACTCCAGCAGAGAAATTAATTATGTTTTTTTGCTCTAGTCCTTGTATTCTTTGGAGGAGGTGTTTTATTCCATTGAGTATTATCTTTACCTAAATAGAACGTCTGAGCAGCATTATTTTTCGAATTGGAAATGCCTTGCTTTGAATAATTCGAGTTTTTTGAACTGGATTTTTTTGTTACAATTCCACCAGAAGCAACGCTTTCCTTCCCACGTGTAGAAATTGGTTTGGAAGGAACTTCCGCTGATTTCACTTCATTTACCCTGAAAAAGTTTAAAGTATTATATAAATTCATAAAAACACAACACATTATATTTTTTTAAATAAACAAAAATTAGAATTGAATAGTGAATTTCGAAAAGAGCTCAACTCTGAAAACTTAATTATCAATTTTCTTCAAACCAAGCTAATTTAAGACAACTATTTTTATATTTTTTCGTGTAACATAATAATTAGTAACTACATGAAAAAGCTGCCTTCTTTTAATCAAAACAATTTTAAAACATTGGTTTTTTGTGTCTTCTTTAAAATTTCAAAAAATGGAGTGGACCCCTTTTCAAAATTCACTATTGAATTTTAAAATAATGAAAAATTTTAAAAACTTACAATTTTGAAGGACCAACTTTTTTTCGCACAGGTTGCTTTTTCTGTTTCGCGTTTTTATTATCAGAAACCTTATAAAATTTATATGTTACATTTATTTTGAAATTTTGTTTTGTAATTATTGTTTTAAATTATACTCAAAACACAAAAAGCATGAACAAAAAAATGTGTACCAATTATCATCGTTTGAGGCCTCAGAATTTCCTGAATAGTCTGAGAAAGTAGATTTGGTGTCGTGTTAAGAATAATTCATTTCATCTTCTGCATTATCATCTGATGAACAAGTTTCTTTTGATGTATTCCCCTCAACCTCCAGGAGTTTGTCAGCATTAAATCTTTGGCGAGTCAGCATATTTTTAATTTATCTTTATAAGAAATAATTAATTTAATTTATGTCATAGTGAAAATTTATAATATGCTACACTAAAAATTTTTTCTGGACCTTGAAAATTATTCAATTGGCAATATATAAAAAATGCTATAAAATTTACAACACATCTTCGAAAATTTTATTTTATATATAATTATAACGTTTTTATGTAAAATTACAGCATAATTGTGTATATTTATCTGCCGGTCTGTCAAGTTGAAAAAACTCTTTTACATTAGTAGTTAATTCACTAAATTCACATTAACTAAAATATACTTTTGACGTAATATTATTAAAAATCTAATTAAATCATTCTTATTACATGATTCATTTCAATTTTTAATAATAATGATATGAATAATCCAAAATAAAAACAACGAATGTGCGGTTATGTGAGGTTAAAGTCATCTTTACAACAAGTTTAAAACAACTTTTACTTATATATTTCTATCACACACGCACTGACCAAGTATTAATTAAATTAAAGTTTCTAAAAAAGCCATTATTGATTGTTTATGTATAATTACTTACGTTTACTTAATTTTCATATATTATGATCACATGGCGATTCACTACATATAAACTTATTTCTGGTACGAACAAGAGAAGAACGGCAACGTCGCATTGAGAACTTGAACATTTTTCACATACGCCGAAGCACAAGTGTGGAGAGAATCCCTCACTTTTTTGTGTTCCGGTCGTCTTCAAAAATTTAAAACTAAAGATTTATTTAGTTTAAACTAAATTTCTTTTTACAAATGTATACATGAGGATTTTGTTAAAAGGTATAGGGAAGGACAGCGCTCTATAGCGTTTCAAAAAAAAAACTATATACAAAATACTGAAACCAGTGAGGGAATCCCTCACTGCCTGTACTAAGGAGGGTTAACTTTTGTATTTTATGACCAAATTCATAATTTATGCTAAAATAAGAAATATAAATTTTAATCATCTATATATAAAAAAGTTTAAAGCATTAAAAAAGATTTAGTGTTAAAAAGTTATTTTTTTTACAAAATGATTTAAAAAACGCGAAACTCTGTGATTTAGATTTTGGGAAAAACATTTTCTTACATAATTTTAAGTGATAAAAAAGATGGCACTATCAGATTTTGTCGTCATTTTTGTCAATTTCTAAGCTCGTTCCCGCGCACCGTGTGATGATGGAGGACCTACGGGGCATGCAAGTGTCTACCAAGAAGGCGGCCGGTTTGTTCCTTTATAAAAAAAATCCACTTTTTTCAGAAACCATGCACGAAAACATTTGTGCGAGTTTCGTACATACAAATTTGACTGTTGGTCAATAAAATTTCTACCTTATCAGATACGATTAGGTTAATGAAATACTTAATAGGAGAAACCTATTTACCATCGTAACTATATATTATACTAGGGGGCTATGCCCCCTGCGCGCATCGCGCGCCAACCCCCATTCTCTAAAATTTTCGAGACAAATTCTGAACGGAACGTGAATTGCATGGTAGGCGAGTACAGCGAATTCCATCGTAGTGTCGAAATCCCCCCTCCCCTCTTCCCACCTTTCCAACTTCCCCACCCTAAATTTAGAGGTTAAGATCGTTTCAAGACTCTGAATATAGCCGCAAGTCCCCCCCTCCCTTCTCTTTAACCCCCCTTCTCATGACTTGCGGCTTTATTCAGAGTCTTGGAACAGCGGCGGCGTTGGCGGCGATATCTTTTTGTAATATAGATAGATATATATTATATTACAATATTATAATTTTATTAAATTATATTATATATATTATATATTATAAAATTATATATTAAAATAACATATATATATTTTTACAATGCGAATTTGTCAAACGGCAATTTATTTCATAAATAAAGAAATAGAAAAGTTTCGTTTACAAGAATGATTAATAATTTATCACTTATCACTATTTGTCAGTATTTTTTTTATTTATGCAGATGTAGAGAATAATTATATAAATAAAAAACTTTATAACAAAAACATATTTGTCGAACTTTTTTTTCTAATTTTTTATAAAAAATTTTAAATATTTTTTTTGTAAAACAAAATTTTTTGTCTTATAGCAAAAAAACGACAAAATCCAATGAACAAAATTTGTTATCTAGACTGAAAAAAAATTTATTTGAATCGAATAAAAAGTATTTGATCCAAATACACATCTACTAAATCTGAGTATTTTATTTTATTGTGCCAAATAAATAATAATTTGTATCAAATACAAAGTAATCAAATCAAATAAATGGAATATTCAAAGCTAATAAATAATTATTTGAATTAATTATGAAAATTATTTCATTCAATACTGCACGTTTTTTAATTCAAATAAATATTTATTTGAATCAATAAAATATTTTTCTTGAAACAACTAACAATTTGTTGAATCAAATATTTGATTATTTATCCTAAGTAATTGTTTTAGTTGAAACTAAAACCTCTTTAATTGTGGCAATTTTTATTGTATTTGATCCAAATACATAATTTATTTGCATAAAATGTAAGAATTTTTTGATTCAAATAAATCAAAGTTTGAATTGAATAAATAACATATTTATTTACTAATTCTTCCATTTCTAAATTAAATTCTTACTCAAATAAATAAATTAAAAAATATGTAATTTCTGCATACTATGATCGCATATTTTCATTTTTCAACCAATTCGTACATAGAATTAATGATTAAACGCAAACCTGAGAAATAAATAAATCTAAATTAAATTCTTACTCAAATAAATAAATTAAAAAATATGTAATTTCTGCATACTATGATCGCATATTTTCATTTTTTGTCATATTTTTAGGGTTCCGTACCCGAAGGGGGAACCCTATTAATGAGACTAGTGAAGCAAGGCATGTACCCCCCCCTAGCGGCCACACGAATTTTTCTAGATGGCTGAAATTTGGTATACATATGTATTTTGGCGTGTAGATTACAGGAAAAATATAGCGAATCTCATAGGAATTAATTATCATAGCGTTGTCAAGGAGAAACCATGAATTTTTACGAAAAATCCCTAAAAATGACTATGTACCCCCCCCCCTGGTTGCCACATCTTTTTACATAGAGAGCTCAAATTTGGTACACTTATGTATTTTTACGTGAAAATTACAGGAAAAATATAGCGAACATGATTCGGATTAATTTACATAGCGTTGTCAAGGAAAAATCAAAAATTTTGAAAAAAGCGATTAATCCTCCTAGCGCACACAATATTTGACGAAGGCAGTTCATATTTGGTATACTTACGTATTTTTGCGTGTAGATTACAGGAAAAATATAGCGAGCACAATTGGAGTTGATGTTCATATTGTTTTTAAGGAAAACTCATATTTTTAGAAAAAATCATGGATTTTTCGAATAAAAAAAGAAGAAAATTTTATCCTAAGGGATCCAAATTTATACTTTTTTACGTATTTTTACTTGTAGATTACAAAAAAATACAGCGAGAACGATTGGAGTTAATTATCATAGTGTTTTCAAGGAAAAACTGATAATTTTCGATAAAAATCATGATTTTTCCTCAAAAAACGAAGAATATTTTATCTAAAGAGTTTCAAATTTATACACTTTTACGTATTTTTGCGTGTAGATTACAAAAAAAATATAGCGAGAACTCCAATTGTGCTTGCTATATTTTTTTGTAGTGTTTTCCCATTCTTTATAATTTGCCATTTTTGCCATTTTCTTTTTTTTACCATTTGCTATTTTTTTTATCTTTTGACATTTTTTATTTGTTGATATTTTTATTAATTGGTGAAATCTAAAAAAATCATAAAATTGAAAATGTTAAATGATAAAAAAATTAAAAATTTTTTAAAAACTTATGATATGTATTTCCATGCTCACATTACAAGAAAAATTAAGCAAAATTGGAATTTTTCCATCGGCCTTCACACTTTAAACCCCTCAAATTTTGAGGATTAGGGGTACGGAACCCTCGGTTTTTATGCGAGTGTAACTCGCACTTGTCCGATTTTTTTTATATATATATGTTAATGATAGTAACATAAGTCATCTAACTTAATTTTATTTTAATATATACGTATATAATTTTTTTTACAGGAAGATATCAGTTCCAGCGGATCAAGCGATGAAGATATCGCTGAAATTGTCGAGAAAGTTCTAAAAAGTGTTATGCATCAGAAAAAGGCGAAAAAAGAAAAAAAAAGGTATGCCACATTTTTTGTTACATATAATTTTATATTGTAAATTTCAAAAATTCTCAATCTACTACCAAATTTTTTTTCTTGAAAATGTATGACATATTCTCGCTGTTCTATATTCAGTTTTCTTAAATTTAACTTATTTTCATTTCTTATAACAGAATCTTTTTTTATCATATTTTCCTGATTCTCTAATTTCAAAATATTAAATTTCTCCATTTCTCTATTTTCAATTTCTGAGAAAGCACTGTTGACAGCTGCAGGGCCTTCATCTGGCGAGAATGGTAATTCAAAAAAGCAAGAATTAAAGAAACAAGAATCTGCAAAAAAGAAAGAGTAAGAAGATAAAGAAAATCAAAAAAAAGATTTGGGAAATAAGGAGAAATGTAGAAGAAGTGATTCGAAAAAACAATTAGAGAAAAATGATTTAATGAAAAAAGCAGAAAAGATACAAAATGATGGTAATTATATTGTCATTTCAAAATCATTAATTTATTAATCTCAAATTTAAATATTTACATAAATATGTTCATGAATGTTAATATTTTTTTTAGGAAATGGCAAGGTTAATGTTGAAACAAATTCAGAAGAAAATTATAATTCTTATGTATCGGACGAACAAGACTCTACAAATAATGAAGAGGCGGTCCATGATCATAAACGCAGGAAATCCACTGAATCGACGTCTGATGTTGACGATAAAGGTGAAAAGGGATATAAACTGGTCATTAATAAGAAGGCATTAAAAAGAACTGAAGGTATATATTTTTTAAAATCATTTTTCCTTTTGTATTTTTTTTCAATATTTTAACATTCTTTTTATCCTTCCAATTTTTTAAATTAAAATTCTTAAATTTCTCTACTTTTTGCTTCCTCGTGGAGGAAGCTTTGTAGTCCTTTCATTTATAAAACTTTTCAAAGTGGCGAAAACAAATTTTTTTCTTTATAGAAACATGTTATATGAAATCCTGATCAATTGTCCGGATGTATGTATGTGTGTGTGTGTGTGTGTGTGAGTGTGGATCCCT